ACCCAGTGTCCTCCCTAGGTAGCGCTTGCAGGGGATGGGGAAGCGCTTTGTCTCCTGGCTCTCCCCCTCCTAGGCAGGAAGGGCTCCGGGTAAATAAATAAACAGCAGCTGCTGGAGAACAGGGTCCCAATGGTCTTTTCCCATTCTCCGGATGGCTCTGTGATTGCGTCCAGGTGTCAGGAGCTGAGGCCAAAGGCTGAGTGTTGAGGCACACAGGGACAAATTTGGCACTGCTCTAGTTTTAAACACATTGGCTCCAGCAGCATGACTCTGGGATGACCCTTAATGTATCTGCTGAAAGAGAAATGAAGCCCTACAGGATGACACCATGGTCCTGCTACCCATATTTGGTCTCCAGCAGTGGCACTAGGGGAGCTGCCACTGGACGTGTTGGTGTGAAGTGGACGTGCTACTCACAAGTCTGCTCTCCATCCATGCCACCCCAAGCAGGAGGGGGACACCTTCAGTTTAGTCCCCTCTGAAGCTAATCCTAGCCCCCAAGTTGGAGGAAAAGTTGCTTTGACACCCAGGGAACCAGATTCAATTTCATTTCATTCTTTTTCAAAATGCTGGACTAGACCGTCTGAGTGCAGCCAACATCAGAGAGCCTTTCTGGTCTCTCCTTGGCTTTACTGGAGGAGCCCCTGAGAAAGCCTTGGGCACGCTGGCCAGGAGGGCAGCACCCAGGCAGTCGCAGGACGCTTGATCCCACCAGAGAGTGAAATGTCTTGTCATATCTCTCATCACACATGGCACTTGCCTTCTGCCAAGACCTGGACGCGCTCCGTGGTGGAAGGACAAAGCTGTGGTTGTGCTTGCCGGGGCGGGAGCACAAGTCCAAGTTGAACGGCATTTGGATCTCTGCCCGGTTTTGGCTCAGGAGACACTTGTCCCACACCTGCCTGGGCTGTTGCCTCCTTTCCAGGTACACAAATTCCCCTCTCTTCCTCCCTCTGCAGCACAGATTCCCTCGCCAGAGCCTCACAGAGGGTCCCCAGAGCCCCGTGTCCACCCCAGCACCCTGAGGACACCCACTATCCCCCGGGCCGTGCTGGGGAGCGCTCGTCTTGGTCACCGTTGCCCTGACAGGAGCGATGAATGACCGAGCGGCCGGCGCTAACAGGGCTCCATGTCACACCTGCCACGCCGTGGTTGGGCCGTCCCCTGGACAAGCTGTCCCCCTCCCTCCGAGGGGGGCTCCTTTCAGCCGCCCCTGAAAGGCGCCTGTTTGCGGCGTGATGGATGGCTCCTGATTTCAATATCAATGCGGGCATCCTGCCGGCGCCCAGCCTGGTTAGGGGAGGTTTGTTAACAGCCTGGCCCTCCTCCTCCTCCTCCTCCCTTGGCTCATGGGCCACCTCTCTTGCTCCTGCTGCTGTTTCTTGGGGTGCTGCTTGTCCTTGCAGCGGGTAGGAGCTCAGGGGATAGGTGTGAGGATGAGGAGGAGAGGGGGCCTCGCGGTGGGAAAGGTTGACACGGCAAGGTCTGACCAGGGAAGGACTCTTAGGCCGGGGCCTGCACCAAGGAGCATTCAGGCCCAGGACCTTGCCGTTGCCATGGTTCCTCCTCTCCCTCTGCTGATCTGTAAAGGAAAAAAAGATGGTGCTTTCTTTTCTCCCGGCCTTTTATCTTGCCCTCTAAGGCTGCTGCTTTCAGGCCCGTGTCCTGCCCCCACTCCGTGCACTGGGGCGCCTTTGTAGTTCCCACCGTTTGCAGTTTGTGGCCCTTGGACTGGGACCGTTGCCAAGGGTGTTGTCCCCTGCCCCTTGTCCCCAAGCTGGCGATGGAGCCGAGGAGGAGGCATCGAGCTGCACTGGGTTTCTGTCCACAGAGGGGGCAGCCTGACAGCCTTGCTGGGAGAAAATACCTGCCCAACAGGGCTGGCGTCACTGCCCCGTGTTCTGCATCTCCCATGAGGGAAAGAGCGAGGATTACAGCCCCGCTCTGCTAAACCACAGGGGTCTTTTATTGTTGCCCTCTGTTTTGGAGCTTCTCTGCTCAGTTCCCAGCACATCGGCCAAAAACGTGTCATTTTCCAAGCGAGCTGAAGCAAGGCAGGCAGCCTGTCAAGGCTTTGGATATGCTCCCATAACTGCCAAAATGCAGTTCACTGAGAGCATCTTCGGGGTTTCTTTGGCAATAAAAACCCCCTCATATCTCACCCAGACAACCAGAAGGGCAGAAGCTCTACAGATGCCTACCTCCCACATTGAGAAGGTGCAAGTGAAATGACCCCAGAGAAGTACATCCTTCCATAGCAGGGGCATCTGGCTCTCATGTGCAGCCAGATGAGAGCTCACACTAAAAGACTCCAAATCCCACTGGATAAGGTGAAGAATATAGACTTTAACTACTCAGGTGCCTCTTGCCGACCCATATGGCAGTCCCTGGCTGCTCTGACTGCATCCTACAATTGTTTCTCTAGAAAGAGTGAGCCAGAGTTAGCATTTTGTCCCCTCTCCCATCCTTTTCCCTGGATTTAGTTAAGTTTCATGTCACGGGCAAGAGAAAAAGGAAAACAGAGGGAGAGGGGAAGAAGCACAAACTGTAAAAACAGTGAAGGAATCCTCCAGCTCCCCAGGGAGCTCAGGAATGGGAATGAGGGTCTACATTTTCCAAAGGGAAGCATCAAGGGAAAAATAAACCCTGCAGATGAGCTGGAGAGGTGAGTTCCTCCAGACGAGGTCAAGACAGTCTGGAAGTGCAGAGCTGCCAGATGGCTCTTCCTCTTCTGCAGTCCCCAGCTTTGTCCCTTCAGGGCCTTACCTTATGTCTCCCATGTTCTCAGCCAAGTATCTTGGTTTTCTGTGATGCATTTGTTGCTGGACGCTGCTCCCAGGTGCCCAGGTGCACCACTGAAACAGTAGGTCCAGAATAGCAAAGGAGCTACTGTGCTTCAGTGCTCAGTGGGATCCAAGTGATCATTTTTGGCTCTACAAACGCCCTGACCAGGACCATCCTTGCATTTGTTAACTGCTCTCTGCTGTCACACACAACATAACCTGTCATCAATTAGACTGCATTGCTTTGAAACCCCCACAGTGACACCTAGAAACATTAACCTGTGTGGTAAAGGCACAGCTCACCTTGTCACCGTGTTGGGGTCTCCGTATCATGGTCAACACGGATTGAGTGAGAGTGGCTCTCTGAGCTCACCTCTCACCCCTCTAAGAGCAGCCATGCCCGGGGAATTCTTCTGGGTGTTGGCAAATGAGATGTTGGCAAAGAGTCAGCCCGTACCTCTGGAAAGCTCTGTGAGGACTGGGAGGATACAATTTTCCACTCATCCCTGGTGCTCGCAGAGACATCAACTAGCCAAAGGGGTCCCTCACTGGTACCAGCTCCTTCTCTGATAATCTCAAACTGTTTGGGACAAGCTGTGTCACCCAGCCTAAAAGCACCTAGCCTAAAAGCACCAAGGGGCGTGAGAATAAGATTGTATGTCCCCAGTAAAGCCTTGCCAAGGCTTGGCCTTGGGCAGTAGGACAGACCAGG